AATGACTGAGGTAATTAACTATAAAAGATAAAAGGGTGTAACGTAATTAGCAACTCCCATATGTATCATAAAATTATATTGAAACTATAGACTATATGCGGGCTATAATTACTTACTACATATTTATTTTTTTTACTTATAAAGATGTATTCAAATTTGTTTATTAAATTAGGAGGCATGTTCACAGAAATTCTAAGAAACTGATTATAGTAAAAAAAAGACTCCTGAAAAGAACCTACGATTGCAGAAATGAATCTATTATTTCAATTTAGACTGAAGAGTAAATGTTTTTTTTTTTTTGAAGGAAGAATATAAAATTGTTTTTCTTTAAAATTTACAAAGTTCACCTTTCCTAAAACCTACTAGGATATATAAATATATATGACTTGGAAATATAATTATTTTCATACTTTTATAATAAATATATTTTAGTACAAGTATTTTCTTTTTCTTTATTTTTATAATTTCATTCAGAAGTTTGCAACGCAGTGAGTGTCTGTCTGTCGTTCTAGAATTTCAATTTAAATTTATGAAAATCGGACTACTATGTCATATATATGCCTTCTTCTATTAAAAAATGAATAAAATTATTACTTTTTCAGAGATTCGACATATTTTTTATTCAATTTAAGAATAACTATAATAAATCTGATAAGAAATTAAAGTTGTGAAGTCTATCTTTAAAGTTAATAATTTGATTTTTTGATGAATTCGTGTAACTAAAACACGACGTTTAATCGACTTAAATATCATATATGCAAAATTTTTAAACCATTATTTTTCTTTCCTTTTTATTTGGAAATAAATTAAGTTGCTTAATTATCTAAAGATTTTCATTCCTAAATTAATTAGTTTTCTTTTGTTTGGTATGTTCCCTAAATCCATAAGACAAAAGACATTATAGAACAATTTCCGAAAATTTTTTTCTAATTGAATGAATTTAAATATAACATTTTAAAAGAATGTGCAAGAATTCTGATGAAATTCGAGTTAGTTCTAAAACCAGACGTGAAAAATGAAGCAGTTGTCTCCAAAAGCTGAAATTGTTAAGTTATGTTTGAAGGTTTACATTGTAAATTCCTTAAACATTTCTTTTCCAGTTTTAAATATAAGCTGCTTTTTAGGTATTATTTTTACATTTTTTGGCAAAGGCTATGTTGTTTCTGTGGCCGTTACTATTGTTTTTACACTTGCCGTTACTGTTAATAAAAATTTACGATTATTGTTTTCACATTTTTCATGTTTGGCAATATTAAAAAACATTGTCTTTCACACGAATTGGCGTCAATGGTGGATGGACACGCACATATCGCGATGCCCGTCCGACCGACGAAGGATGTGTCTCCGAAATTTTATTGAAATTCGCTGATGGAATCCAGCCCGAAAAAGAGCACTGAAAATACGGGGAAAACATTCGAATTGCAGTGGAAAATTGCATTCAATCGGTCGCCAGCAGCATTCGCCACTCATAACTCAACGAGGCGCCGCGCCAGGACAGAACCAAGGCAGAGACACGGACATGGACGTGGACGTGGATGTGGATGTGGACATGGACACAAATCCATTGGACGATGGGCATCGGTGCTGGCATTCCCATTGTTGTTGGCGCTGGAAGATTCGGGACAATTGTCAGGCAATAAATCGATGTGTGTAGGGCTGTAAATTTTTGGCGGATGGCCGATGAAAAAGTGCATATTATGCAATTCGACAATACGCCAAACATGTCGACCTACGCACAGTCGCCACCGCCCTTAAAATCCGACGCGCAACCACCGCCATTGCCACCTCAGCCCTTGCAGGCCATGCACCGGAAACGGAAACGCGCACACAAGTTCTTCTCTTCTCTCTTCTTCATCTTCGGCCTGCAGCGGCGCTTTGCATATCAATGAAAATGCATAAATTTTTACTCGCCCTCAATTTCAGTGGGGTTTTTTTCTCCATTCGGGGTGGTGCCTGTTTGGTTGCACTCGTTGCATTCTTGTCCATTGCCCAATCCTGTCGTCCATCAAGGGGCATAAATCAGTTTGGAGGCAGCAGCCGAAAGCATCGGGAAAAAAGAGCAAAATATTTTTCAGCACGCGTAGCCCCGGAAGCTTATGAAAAATAAAAAATGAAGCCTCATCCCCTGGCAGATCTGTTTTTCGGGCAGCTCCCTCCCCTTCCCGTTGACGAAACGTAATCCGTGTCGAAAAACTGCACCCAAGCAAAAACACTGAATATCCATAAAAATGCATCATAATTTCCTGGAGAGTCGCACAACTGGAACTGGATCGGCGGCATCATCATTGTGTGTAACAGCCGAGCAACAGAAAAGCGACAAATAGAAAGAAAGTTGCCAAATGATTGTTGAAAAAATGGCACTAGGGGCACTCAATCATCATTCAAAATGTTTGAATTGAATGGTAATTGAAGCTGTACAACTTAACTTAGCTCTTTACTTCTTAAATATTAGGTACTTAATATTATAAAGTACCTAAATTATAAACACAATTTGCAAGATGAAACGGAGTGACCCTGATGGGCATCAATTACACGCAACTCACCCCAGTAGCTTTATAAGCCTTGTCGTTGACTCCAGTGCATGGCATCAATGGGGACCGAGTGTCCTTTACCGTGGGGAATTGGGATTACGGCGATGCAGCCTGCCAAGGACAACTCAGCCGTAACGTCCGTAGCTATGCGTTAATAGATTTGCAACCCTCTACCCCTTTGCTGCCCTCTCGATCGGCCCAGTCGATAGGATAATCACAAGACCGAGTCAGGTCGAGCTGCTTCCTCGTTTGTTGTTCTTTTACCTGGCCAAAAAGTGGCCGTAAATTTTACTCCATTTATGAGGACACTCCACACCTAACTCGTAAAAATGGAAAAAAATGGAGCACAGAACCCTGGACGCATTTTTAAGTGTACTCCAAGCGATATGTTGGCGACCTGTCCAAACGTCATCCTTGCATTTATTTATTGAATTATGACTTTTAGTCGGCTCAAAAAAGGGAAATAAAGCTTTTAAAGGAAGAATTGATTTCAAAGTGAGGTAGAATTTATATGGTTTGGGAGCCTCAGCATTTTGGATTTTATATTTAATAGGCTTACTTAAATGCTTGATTGTATTAATAATATTTACTCTAAGCACTTATATACAACGCATACAAACTGACTGGCAATTAAATTAAATTAAATTAAATTAATTAAATAAAAAGTTTGGAATCTTTATAAAGGGGTAGGCCTGTAGAAAAAAGTTGCAACACATAGCAAAAGTAATACCTTATTTTTATTACAGTTACAATTCAACTCCATTTATTTCAATATTTTGTTTTTTAATTAGGTAAATATCGCCTTTGCTAAGCTGTATTTTTATTTTCTCTACTCTCCTGCAGGTTTAGGGATCATTAAGTTCCTTAGCAACTTATATACTTTGTACAAATTAGTGTACTTAAATAAAAATATATTAATATATATATATATTATATGAATTACAACATACATATATGTTACTTATTGGATAAGGAAACTTATGTTTTCCTTTGGATCCAACAATATAGAATAATTGTATTATTTATGACTTTGTACAGTCTCCAATCTCGTTGTTAATAAGGTTATTTACCAGTTCTGATAAAGTGTCCCCCCTCTTAGAGATCGTTTGACGATCTTCCCCTCGGCAGATCTCAATTTACTTCACTTAATGTTTACCTTTATGTTCTGACAAAACCAACACGGCGTGGTGGATGAAAGAACACCAGCTGGCTTCCTCAGATTTCACACAATTGGCAAATATTTGCTTCGTGCAATGCCGGCACTGCCTTTTTAATTCTTTCTAATTTCTAATGTTGACACGGGCGGTGTGCTGCCTGTGGCCCACACACAAGACATCTGTCCTAGGAAGCCGTTTCCAAGTTGCCGACATCCAACGCTATCTCCATGTTGACTCACATCCACGCATGGAAGATGCGCTCCACTTAACCGAAACTATTTTTCATTGTTGGTTTTAGGAGCTGTTAATGCCTCAAATGTCTGGGGGTACTCCACATTTTAATTAACCAAAGAAGTGCAAGCAAACTAATTTCTTTGGAGACGCCGCCAGGTTACGATACTGCGATGTTGGAACTGTTGTATCTTGTTAATTTGTCACGCAAAACAGCGCTAACTCCTTACTTTTCTTGTTGATTTTAGACAATAATAGGGGGCTTACCTTAAGATTTCAAATTAATTTACAGTTGATCTCTTTGGTACATTCTGCTAAGAACTATTTATGATAACTGATTATCTTGATCTTCTTTGATCTGCCGAAGTTGTATTTAATCTGTATTTAATCCATGAAAGACCTTTGAGGGTTCCGACAATGCAATGTTCAGCACCTAAGAGGGGTACTTTATGTATGCTACTTTGAGTACATTCACTTCTAATTTAAATTTACATTAATTGACATTTACATTACTTCAAAAATGATCTGGATACCCCTTCAGTTACCTTAAAAATAATAGAAAAATCGTTATGGAGGGAATTATATAACTCTAATAGTATAGTCTGTTAATGCTGATCAACTTTAGGACTGGCACGCAGTTGTATTACCTTTGTACAAAATACAAAAATGACACTTTTTACATTAAGAATACATAAGAGGTGATTGAGTCTTTACTTTGACTGAATCTTTAATTGTTCATTTATTGAATGGTTGTTAGAAAGCTACAATTTAGAAAACAAATCTCTGTATTGTATTGTTTGTATGTACCTAACTGTGTAAATATTTTAAGGTGTGCCTTCAAGTTCATTGCATTAATATTCAAACATTATAAATTACTCTAAAAACCAATAATCGTTATAATTCCAACAAGTATTTACGTATTTATATTTTAAAATGCTTCACGCTACTTCACACAGTTCGTCACATTTCGGCGGTTAGATAAAATCTCTAAATCGATCTGAAGCCCAATTCTGTAGTTCGAAATTGGAAGCATCAGTGTCAGTTCGGTGTTCAAAGCGGAAACTTGAAATATATAGAAAAAATGGTTCAATCCCGGGTTTTGCGTGTCACAAATGTGGTGCTTTTGCTCACTGGTTACCAAATGTATTGGTTTGAGAAGAAATCGCAAAGGTTTAGAGTGTCCCTGCCGGGAGTTGTCCATACTTTTGTACTGGGATGCATCTATGCTGCTTGTTTTTCCCAGCACTTTGATCCCACATCATCGTTACTAAAGGTCCTTCAGGATGTGTCGCCATTTCTTTATGGATTAACCAGAATGCAGCTATTATTGGGCGTAAAAGTAATTTCCTTTGCCATTTACTCTTCAGTAAGAGCTATCGGAAAGGTTAATTCCTTGGTGGAATCATTTTCAATCCGAGATCAGCGACTAAGCAAAGATGAAGCCGTAGCCTATGCTCTTTTGGTATCCACATTTGGAATTCTGCTTGGTTTTGTACTATACATATCCTACGAAATGAAATTCGAACTGCCTCCACGCCAGGATATCATGATCGGAACTGCTCTCTTCCTTCCTCACCTGATTCTATCTGGATCCTCGAGACTGTACAATATTTTGGCCTGGCTAACTCGTGGCGAATTGCAAGAGATCAAGAAAAACGTAGTGAATGAGCTAAGTGCCAATTTGACCAGAAAACAATCAACTGAGGCGTCCACTTCCTTTAACATTTCAACAGTTAACACCAGTCTGGACACTATGGAACTCCAAAAGAAGAAGTTAGAGGCCATTGGTAGTAGATTTCATTGTCTTTTTCAGTCATTGCAATCTTCGTTAATGTTGCTCTTTGCTTTAAATGGAAACTGTCTTCTGGGAGGTATATATTCCTATATATACTATCGACACACTTGGCACGTTCTCTTCGAAGATCGGAAGCAAAGAATCTTCTATGCGGCAAATGCGTCCATATATGCCTGTATTGCAAGTGACTACATCTGCCTGATGCTTGTTCAGGCTGCAATGGAAAAAGAAGTAACGTAGTAAAATTAATATTTATTAAAAACAAGTAAATTAATCTAGAATTTATTTATAGTGCGAGAGCTTTTTGAAGGATGTGGATTCTTTTCTGGTCCAACGCGATGCTATACCCAAGAGACTTCGATCTCTGGGCAAGGATATTAAGCAAATTCTACAAAAGACTTTCGATTTCAAATATTATTCCCTTTGGCGATTTAATGTCTACTATTTGACATGGGCAAGTTTAAAGTTTCTATGAAATTTTAAAATATTTATTTATAAAATATTGTATTTCAGATAATATTTATTCAATTGCTAATAGTGGCTGTAATTGTTGCTTTACATTATCTAAACGATGAAATTCTATTGATAAAAGAAGAATTGAACAACAAAGGCGATGAATAAGTTGAAATAACTATACTTTGCTTATTTTTCTTACAATGTGCTCTATATAGTTATCACTTTTTGGTTTTTAGTTTGTCTCCACACTTTGTTAACAACTCCATATTAATTACCATGTTATGCAAACTTAATTTATAAATATATCTGTTTGCGAGAACAAAACAGAACGGAACAACAAATCATTATTATGTTGCTAATAAAATGATTCCGCAATCAAATTAAATTGTGTGTGTTTCTATTAGAGATGCTACAAATTCTTAGAAATTCTCAATAACGAAATAGTTTACAAAATATTGGGAGTAGTTCAACAATTAAAACTTAAATGATCATATATTGATAATGCTTAAAATTACAATTAATCATAGCTTTTGCTACAAAAGAACTCTTGCTAAAAGTCCTGTGTTTGTTTTTAAGTTAAGGAACGGGCTTCTCATACACTTGTAGCCTTTGCAACTACCGGATAACAGCACGCAGAATGCCGGCAAGCTGAACATAATTTGTGTTAGGAAATCTACATAATATTTACTGAGATGGCAACACCCGGTACACAGGCCATGGCCATGCATGCAAGTCTGTGGAGATGCTGATGAGCAGATAAATTCATTAGTCACACCCATGTAATTGTTCCACCAGGACGACGACGACGACGGCGACGAGGACGAGGACGATGGGCGGCGAAAGGAGGGCAGGAGGCGCCCAAGGATGTGGCGGGCATCTGGCTCAGCTGGCAGAGCGGGCGGAAAAACAAACCAGACGACCGCAGATCTTAAGTTTTCCCCCAGAGCCCGGAGTTGGGAGTCACGTAGCCGGAGTTGCCTGGCGAAGCGTTACTAAATACAAATTAAACAAATCCATAAATTATGTTTAATAATATTAACAAGGATATTAGCAGAGACTATACACGGACACACACTCGGAGCAGTACAGATACAGATGCGCTCACTTATTATTGCACCCAGCCAAAGTTTGTTGCTGCCTTTGAGCCCCGGACCCCGACTGCATTTCGTTAAGCGTGGTCGTCGTGGTTTATGGCCATGACGCCTCTGCCACCTGGCCGTTAGCCAGCTCAGGATTTACATAGCTACGTGAGTGTTTACACGGTCGCATTGAATCAATCCCGATTGAGGATGGGATTCAGGGCTCGCAAGTTTCTTAGTTACGAAGTGAGATAAAGAATATGCTACCTTTAGTTTCTAGTAGGTAGGAACAGTATTTTTAAATAATAAACATACACGATACAAAATGAAATACCTTAGATACCCTTCAAGTTTGGTATATAAGTATAGAATAATGACACCGAAAGATAATCATGGGAGTTTTTATAAATTAACGTTCTTCTAAACGTCCTGTAAATCAAGTTTAGAAATGTGTCCAGTGATTAAGATTTATTTTTCAAATGGCAAACGAGCTTTATAATAATCCTAAATCCGTTAATATCAATGCATAGCTAACCAAGATCATAAGATCATTAAGACCAACTTGTGTTTTACTATATAAATTCAATTTAAAGCTAAATTATGGAATTATAAAAATCATTTTTATTTAAATATTTATAGCCGTTATACAAATTATACAAAAATATATAAAATTATACAAAGTTTCATTAGCCAACACTGGCACTTTCAATTAAATAATTATAATATATATTAATTATTTTATCCCTTCATGTTCATTTTCTTCTTCTTTTTAGCGATTTGCTCCTCGACTTGTAATAATTTCAATAGTAAGTACTCCCTTCTACCTAGGCTGGAACTACTTCCTTCGTAAAAGGACTTCCTTGATGTTTTTGACGGGAACCTTGAAGAATCTTCTAGCATTCTCTTTGATGACTTTTTTTTTGTTTTTGACGAATTTTTCCGGGACGTTGATTTTGAAGTATGCTTTGAGGTTCGTTTCATTACAGATGTTTCGTGTCGTCCTGATGAGCACTTATCTACATGCCTCGATGTACATTTGGTTGGTGTCCTTGAACTTGACTTAGTCGGTACCCTTGAAGGTTGTTTCTCTTCAATTCGTCGGGAGATCTTTCTCCTAAATTCTCTATCAGAATCGGATGAAGATGAGCTGTCCTCTGAGCTTTCGGTGCTGGACGTGTAGTTATATGATTCAGACGAGTCTGTGGAACTTGATAAATAAGTATAAAGACGTTGTCTTTTTGGTGCCGTTTGAATCGTAGCACTCTGACGTACTGGAGGACTGCTTGGGGGAGTACGAGGTCCGCGAATTTTGGTGACAGGTGATTGTGAAGGACTTGGCAAACGGCAACGCTTGACGGAGGGCTTACAGGTTGGATTTGCTGTGTCTGTTGACCTGACTTCTACTCGAATATGATTGGAATGTCTTGGTGGTGAGACGCTCGTTCGCGGTGGTGACCATTGCGAGGTAGTGGGGCTGGGAGAACTGATGTTCGGTCGACTTTGCCACACAATCGGTTTTGCCTTTTCCATATTGGGAACAGATCGCTGTATATCGCCCAATTTGCGATAGTTCTTCTGAGCCAACAAAATATCGTTAAACGATGGCGTCGGCAACAACGGAGACCGTTTCGACCCTTCCGGCTGATCCTGAGAGTAGTAGCGATCGGAGTTAACGTTGTTTAAGTTGAATGGGAATACTGGTGGCATAGGTGGTGTCCAAGCTATTTAGAAAATATAAAAAGATTCAGTAAAGACACCATTTTTTTTTTATTTCTACGAGTAAATTCATAAGGACTCACCAAGAGGAAGTGGAGTGCTGACAACTGGAAGGACTTTATTTTCAAACATTACATAGTTTCCCTTTTTACTTGCCCCGGGATGACGGAAGCGGCAGTTGTTGCCCCAGCTGCAACCATTCCGAACGTAAAACCGACAGACTGGCACTTTGAGTGTAGCTTCATCATCATCGTCGGATACTTCGCCGTCTTCTAGATCGTGGGACTCCCTTGCAGCTTGAACCCGATCCTGTTTCACATTCACGGTGGGGTCTTGGGACAACTCACCAGATTCCAATACCACGCTGTTTTTATTTCCCAGCAATTCATTAACAGACTCAGAGCTACTACCCGATTCCTTGATATCTTTGGTACTTTCCAAATTGTGAGTACAAATTGTTTCTGAGTTTACAATCTTCTCTGGAGATGTTTCACACTGATTATTTTCCAGCAATTCATTTACAGATTCAGAGGTACTTCCTGATTCTTTGATATATATCGTACTTTCCATATTGTGAGTACAAATTGTTTCCGAGTCTATAATCTTCTCTGGTAACGTTTCGCATTGATTTTGCATTGATCCAGAGCCACTACCCGATTCCTTGATATCTTTGGTACTTTCCAGATTGTGATTACAAGTTCTTTCTGAGTTTACAATCTTCTCTGGAGATGTTTCACACTGATTATTTTCCAGCAATTCATTAACAGATTCAGAGGTACTTCCTGATTCCTTGATATATATCGTACTTTCCATATTGTGAGTACAAATTGTTTCCGAGTCTATAATCTTCTCTGGTAATTTTTCGCATTGATTTTGCATTGATTCAGAGCCACTACCCGATTCCTTGATATCTTTGGTACTTTCCAGATTCTGATTACAAGTTGTTTCTGAGTTTACAATCTTCTCTGGAGATGTTTCGCATTGATCTGCTGAAAACGCTTCCTCGACGGGTTTCTCGGTTATGGAACTTGTATGGTCTTTAGGGGATTCTTCTTCAGTTAAGGGCATATTATTCGTTCTTATATCCGAATAATTGCTTTCATTTTCAGTTGACCCCATGTTTTTTAAAGAAAGTTTTGTGTTGATCTCAAAATTGACAACATTTTGAAGGATTGTAGGGGTTTCGATGGTTTTAACCTCAGTCTTCAAACAGTTGACTTCTGAATTTTGAAAGTTAGAAATGGATTACATATAACACAAATATACATATATGTGTATCCTTACCCATGATTCCATTTACTGTATAATCTGTCACAGGTTTTTGTAAAGATTCAGTAGCTTCCTTATCGGGAATTTGTTTAACGATTTGCAAAATCAAACTATATAAAAGTAAAAACCCAAATTTATTATACTTCTAGAATTATAATAGATAAAGTGAAACAAACCTTATTTTGGAAGCGCTATCATCTGAAAATATAAACGTTTAAGAAATATATTTTTATACTCAACCAGAAACCTTAAATGATATATATCCTTATTTTAATATAACTACATGTACATACATATGTATGTTTTGACTTCGTAATGTCTTACCTGCTACTCCAATGAGATTACAGTCGCATGTTTTTAGTTCATTTTCCACGTTATTCCCTAAATTATCCAAGTCATGGCAAAGGGTTTCTGATTCCACCTGCGGTATCAAGTTGTCGTTATTCTCAGGCCCAGACATCGTTTATAGTTTTAAAGACTACAAACAAATGAGTCTGTATTCGAACGTCTTCCGGTTGTGCTTTTATATTCACAAAGTTTATGAAAATAACTTGAAACTATTATTTTGACGTAAAATGGAAGGCAGAACTTAGAGTTGAGAGAAGACGGATTTCACAATCGATAGTTGATCATCGATTCGGTTTGGGAATCGATACATCGTAAACTATGTATTTTCAATATATTTTCCACCACTAAGAAGCAATGCCATTGCATCGCAGCCTATTATCATATGTTGAATTAAACTATTTAGTGACTTTGATGCTTTCTTCACATTTTAATTGGAACAACTTTCATCGCCTTTTATATATTCCAGATGCAAATGAATCATTAAGTTGTTTAACAGTCACTGTCAAAATTTCGCGGTAAGATTTTTAAATTTATTTACAATATTACATTTGTATTGGTTCTTCAACAGTTTGAATATTTCAAGGTAATTTTAATGTTTCATGAGAGGTAAGGTATGTTCATATGCGGTATTCTAGAAGAAGCTATTGCTACCGCTTAGTTGGACGTGAACAATATCTTACCATTTCCATCAGATGCATCCCAAACCATTAATAATACATGTACATTTCACTTCATCATTAATTGCCTTCATAAATGTATACTAAACTTTCTATTGTTGGTGACTTCATTTAATTCCCTTTGCTCTTATTCACAATTCTTTTTAAGTTTTCTACTAAATGTCGACTGGCGCTTACATTCTCAGCCTGACTATGTTAATAAACTACAGAACACAAGGTAACGCATGAATTGATGAATAATATGTGTTAGCCTACTATAGTATGATAATAATCAAATACAAAATCTCCTTCTGGATCGATAACAAGTTTCCTATGTTCAGCCGGGTTACCAGCCGCTTCTTACCCTGAAATGTTTAGTCACAGGTATGAAAATTAAAACAATCGATTGAATTCATAATCCAATCATTTTTTTTAATTTTTTAATTAATCTATTTTTTGTTAAAAAAATGTCAATCGTCACAAAAGGTGTACACAATTATAACAATGCCTGAATAACAAATTTACATTTCTGTTCAATTTTTATTAACTTGTTGGAAAAGCTTCTGCCGGGTATGAGACTCAGCCCACTTGACTGATGCATACAGTATGTCAAGAAACTGTTTACACACTGAAAATTAATAAAATGTTTTGACTTTGCAAATATAACACTTTTAGTAAGGTTTTTAAATTTTTTTTCAATAGATATCTATTTATTGGATAACTCTTAATGATAATATTCAAAAACATAAACAAAACAATTCAAGATTTAACAAAAAATTAACAAAAAATAACTTTTCACATTTTTGACACTGTCAATAAACTCTACACAATATACAAAACTTACAGCTAAAAGGATATATTTAACAACTTAAACAATAATTTTATTAATTTTAGTACTTTGTGTCCCCCCCTCTTAGCATTTACTATATGCTGGATGCGTTTTTTCATGGAATTGATTAGCTTTTCCATGTCATATTCCAATGGAATCCTCTGCCACTCTTCCAGCACTGCAGTTTTGAGGTCTACTCGATTCCTCGGTTGCCTTTTAGCCACTTTTTTCTTTAAATAAACCCACAAATTTTAAATCGGGTTCATATCAGGAGGTGTATCTATAACTTTTTGGCAGTTTGCTCCTTATGTTTGGGGTCATTATCTTGGTAAAATTTGAATTTCGGCTTTTCTTTGTCCATTAAGCCAAATTTTTTAGCACTCTGCCTCAATTTTGAATGGAGTATGGAGAGATACTGCTCAGCATTCATAGTGCTTTCTATGAATGCGAGCTCCCCGACTCCGGGCTTGAGGATCATCTCCATAGCAAAAGAATACCGCTTCTGAATTTTTATTTTTATTAACTTGCTGGAAAAGCTTCTGCCGGGTACGAGACTCAACCCACTTGAATGATGCATATGAATATACACATCCATATGTACATACATGTATGTATATTACATCGCAAAATAGATCTGTCTCGAAAAAGTCTAAAATGGCGACACTGCTTCCTTGCGCCCCTGGTCAAATGCTCTAAGCAACAGCATCAATTTCCGGAAAATTGCACCACTAAATTACCATAACGGTTGGTTAACCGCCTCTACCACACCAAGAACACCCCATTCCAACTAAAAACCTCCAGAAAACTAAAGAAAAACGAGAAGCCAATCCGAAGTATGTATTCCCTAGAATTGAGATACACTCATACAATATACAAGTGTTTTAGATTAACTTCTAAGTAGTTGCCACATTTGATCTGATATATGGTTATATCTCTTAAATACCCTGAAATCTATTTTCTCTCTTGGACAGAAGGAAGAACAAACAGGTCTTAATTATTTTAGATTCGGAGATTTCCCTTTCTTGTTCATTTGGAATTATTATATCCTAGTATCCTATGGGTACCATCAACTGAACAGCTCTTACTTCTGAAAATCCAACGTTATAAGCCAGTAGAACAAACATATACAAAAATATCGATCAAAATTGAAGTATTTGACATTGCTTTGCTGACATGTCCTCGAACTACCAATACCTTTTGTTAGTGTATATGTAAATATTACGGCAACTCTAGAAACCAAACTTAATGGCGACAAGTGAGAGACAAATGCCGATGCCGCGGACAAAGAAGCGGAATACGGCGCGAAATACGCAAACATCAGCGCAATGCGGCAGTGAAGTTACCTGACGGCAGTCAGGTGGATGGAAAGTCACAGGATGGGGTGTCCCACAGGACTTGTAAATAGCAACATGGCAAACAAGTTAAAAAGTTTTTCTCTTGTTCTCTGGCATTTCTTTATGCCCGGGTCGCGGGCCCAAACATAATCGTTTCTCATTTCAATGCTGGTAGTGCCAGTGTCCCCGCATCGAGTTACACTGCTAGAAATAGAAAAAAAAAACATATATATTTAAGCGTTAATCCGAAATTACTTTCATTTTATAATAACATGCTTAATGGGACGAAAAATTACTGAATAGGTGATATTTCTTAAAGATAACTAAATGGTCTTTAGCTTCGATGCTTGTATGCTAATATTCCTTTAATTCAGTTATAAAATTTTAAAGTACTTTTTAATTTAAAAATTGATATTGAAACAGAAATCTTTGGGTTCGAAAAATCAACTTGATCTATATCAACTTCACCACGAAGCAAACTATTCTCTATAGATCCTTTAAATAAATCTCTTTAAAAAGATATAGTGGTCTGATAATTACTGTTTCAATAAAGTATCATAAAAAATGATAATCTAGTTGGCAAAGAAACAAACAGAAATAAATCAAACAATGCTAGATAGTCTCGGCTGCTGATCGGGACGGAAATTTGAATTGTGAACTAAAATATTTTACGGCTAAAGCTGTATTTATTTTTTGTAGTGCCTCCTGGTTAACTTTGCTCACCTTTCCTTTGGTCCCCTGTACGCAATTTAGTTTTGAGCTTAATTTCTTTTAATAGCTCCAGCCGACAGATAAAATTCTGCTGAAGTAGAACCCCGAGCCCCAAGAAGATGTCCCTCCCCAAAACAGACATTGTTCTTTTCTCGCGCCCAGTTCCCTCTTGCCACCCCCGACTTCCGGCTCCCGACTCCCCGACTCCATCTGGGGTCAAAGGGGCGTCGGCGTCCCTTTCGCTGGCGGATATCGCAAGTAAATTGCTTAATTTTGGCCATGTCTCGACGTCCGGGGTTAGGTGTCTCTTCGGTTTGTTTTATTGGGGGTGAAAACATTTGGTGGGGCATGCGGGGGGTGCGTGGGTAGAAGGACTCCCCGAAGGCCGCCCAGGTTGACGTTTTCTGGGCCATGACGATTTCATTTGCATTTTATGATAATTGAACTTCATAAATATGTTACGGCAACATCTTAAAAGTGCCAGAGGTAAGCACACCACACACACACAGCGAAGCAAAACACTCTAGGTACCTTTTGCAGAGAGGACTCTCTTCCTTCCCAGGGTGCCATGTGCTTCATAATTATTTTGAAGTGTCTCCATTAATTTAAAATACTTATTATCGTGTAGGGCTGGACCATAAACCGCTGAAGAAATGTGGATAACAAGGCGTGCAATTTAAATATGTTAAATACACGTAGCATACACTCAGGGATCAAGGAATATCATGAAATGGTTGGTACTCAGAGGTGGTGGCATTTATTGGACACTCTATGGGGCAAGAACTAACTTATGCAAGTAAAGGTAAAGTATGTAATAATGGGTCAGGTTTTAATGATGGTTTACTTCTTTTTGTGTCACCAGGATGTCGTGTTTTGAGTAGCCTATTAGTTCTTTATTATTGGCAACTTCTCTGGAACGTAGACCTGGAGTCCATACCTCCAAGTTGGATCAAGAATGTGGACTGTATTGACAAAGAAGGAGGTAATTGTTAGACTTGAGGAGCTATAGCAACCTTTTGGCATTGCCTTCAAGCATGAATTTCACCATCTTTCGATGTATTAAGATGGTTTCTCGGGTGCAGAGCGTAATCCCAACGGTTCCTAGAGTGTGAGTGACCACTGACTTTTCGACATTTTAAACAGCTTCTGGCTCAGAAGAGCATTCACAATTTTAAAAAAGGTATTTCGTGCTGCACTTTTTTTTTTTAAACTTGCTTCATCCTCAGATTTTCAGCCACGAAATACTGCTTCTGGTAAAACCAATTCAGGATGTACTCGGTCAGTCAGTAAAGATTGTCAGTAGTTTAGTGTTTCAGGTCAAATCCGAGTTAGAAACGCGAAAGCGATCCATTGATTTTTGAAAGAGGGTATGCAAGGCTTGAGGATAATAACTATACGAGCTTTCCTGCAGGCCTTAGCCAGCAAAGTAGGTCCTGAAAGGAATGAAGATCTTTACCAAGGTTCACAGCAAAGTCTTCAATCCAGCTTGCATTGACGTAGTCCAAAAACCTTTCGCTCTTTTTTGAAATGAATCACGGTTTTTTTTTTTTCTTTTTTTTTTTTAAGTGAAGAAACAGGACATCTAATTATACCTTAACATCACATTGAACGCAGATGTAAAAATAAACCAAATCTAAATTACATAAAAAGGTTTACATATATGGAAATGGCAGACTTATTGTCTCCTAATTGTTTTGGCAAAACCTAGTCGTTTAAGACGCCTCAGTGATCTAGCTGGTAGTAGATTTCTAGCAAGTAAACTGCGGTGTTTTTCCAGTCTGTCACTGTATCTGCTTGTATGTCTTCCAATCTGCTCTTCCACAGTGAGCAAATTTATTTTATTTTTATTTTATTTATTTATTTAATTTATCTCTATGTAGAGTGGTACCACACACGTACCAGGGACAGTCTATTATGCTTCCTGAATCCTTTTGTAATTGGTTTTGGCTGCAATCCCCCAGATTTTTATACCGTAAAGCCAAATTGGCAGGATACAGTGGCAATTTGCTCCTTCTATTTACAAGCCAGCGTACTTGCTGTGTCCTTAGATTACATTTTTAACAGTGTTCTTGAGATGTAGGCCAAATGTAAGGCGTTTGTCCAGGGTAATGCCAAGGTATTTTGCTTGCGACTGCTGCTCTAGAGTAACTCCTTCTAGTTGGATTATAGGGGTATTAATTATTAGAGTTTTCAGTGTGAAACAGGTGTTCGTTGTTTTCGTCGGATTGATCTTCAGGTTCCATCGTTTGCACCGTTTGGTTTGACAAGATACTCCTGTAGTCCTTTGGCTGCTTCCCTGTGACAGCTGGAGTTGTAGATAACTGCGATGTCATCTGCGTAGGTCGCAATTAGTGCTTTAGAGGGGTCTGACATATGTTGACTGTTAGAACTGGGTATACCAGCAGTGATGAATCACGGTAAATGAATCTGTCTCTTAATAATTCCAGTGAGCATATTTGATTCTACTTAGAATGAGTTTTCTGAACTGATATCTGTAGCCATCCCACATTATAAATTCACCAAGTTTAACCTATCCCAAAAAGATGTTTGCCCAAAAACCGGGGAATCTTAAAACAACAGGGCTAACACTGTGACTCTATAAACTTTTAGAACTTCAACTATTTTTTTAGCTTTTGTAATTATAGGTATCAATTTTATCGTTCCCCAATCATATTGACTTATTTTTAGCTCGGTTAAGCCAATTAGCTTTTACATATTTTTTTAACGAAATTTTTGCAATAGAGCTGGGGAAATTGTCCTCCGACAGGCGATTAACTTCCACTTAACTTTGATTTGAGCGAAGCTCGTCGACCTGCTGCTCCTGTTCGCCCGAAGGCTTCGACACCTTCCCTTCGAAGGCATGACAAGGGGAATATAAATCAAATAAACAAACCTCATTAGCATATTATCAGCATCAAATTGTGACGCCGCCCGTCATCTTAAGTTCAAGTGAGAAATCTGTCACGAGGCATTAAATCGTCTTCCGTGGCAGCCCCCAAAAGCCGCAAGGATAACAGAGCGAGGACGATGACGGGACGAAAACGAGGAGGAGGAGGTGGAGGAGGGTTTCCTGAGGGCGATGCTAAGCGTTTCCTGGAATCCGGCGCACATAATTATGCGTGTAAACAAGCGTGATGATAGTGCGCTGACGTGTGACGACGCATGGCCCAAAAGGGTTAAGGGCTGACTTACCTATCCAGCAGCTCTCCCCTGTTTGTTAGGAGTACTCCTCAACTAGCGGAAAACAAATTGCCGAAATTCCTCAAGGCCTTCAACTAGTTGTGGTAGCGGCAGTGGCAGTGGCCCTTCTCTCGGCTGCTGATTTATTCGCGTTGTGCTGGCAACAATTAGAAAAGTTACCGCAGGATGTGCGCACACAACACCCAAGGAGATGTGTCTGCTCCTGTCAGGACTCAGACTCAATCTCGTCGGATACCCAAGCTCACCGTTCTGGGCCGTTGGAGCTGTGCGTTTTAATTTGACGAAAGATTGATGACATCTCATTAATATTCATTGCCGCCAGTGCAAGGCTCTGCTGGGATTTTACGGCAATATATCCTCTCTATTCCGGAGTCTGTTGTTGTGTAGTTTCGTCCCAGAGACGGATCCTTTGGCGCCGGTTTGCTAGATGGCTAGATGTCCTGATTCTAATGAGGCGGTAAACGACCGTTCTTTTCTTGACACTGGAAATGCTGATTAGGTGCAGTTGATGAGTGGGTAAATTGCTATAATGGAACGTGTTTAGAACTTGATTTTCATACATAGTAAGTTACCCATTTTATTTAAATAAAAATAGGGGATGTGGCTAGCCGGTGGTTTATGGTGAAAGTTTAATTTATAGTATTTTTCTTTGAAGGTTTTCGATATATTTATCTGGAAAAATCTACGTAGAACAGTCTTAGATTCCTATTAAATGACTTTCCACAAAGTCAAAGGATTAATCTCTGTATTTTTGACATTTACATTAAAAAGAGGATAGTGCTGAAGGAGGCATCTCTAGGAAGCTATCTTTCTTACGATGATCGGTATAAATCGGATCAGAGCACAGGCGACGACAAAAACCAGAACATTAGCGTGAGTTTCTTCCCTGGCACTGTCCACTTTCATGGCGGTCTTGAACAATGGCAGAGTGCGAAACATGGTGACTGCAACTATATAGAATTTTGATAAACATTTAGTGGTTAAACATTTAGAGCTGCACTTACGTCGTATAGTAATTTGGAAATTGTTGTTATGTTTTGTAAGCCACTGACCCAAATGTGCCTCAAATGATTCGAGAATGTACTGAATATGTCTGAATCAAACCGTTTGACGAGACTGAAAACTTTGACTGAAAAGCCAAGGGCTTCATGAATATACTCAATCGAATCACCGATGTGCTTTATTTCTTGTGTTCGGAGCAGACCGCCGGGACCTAATCACTTGCGCTTAGGTGTACCGCTGCACCTGCTGCGCTCTTCGACGTTCTCTTTCTTAACTATTGCCTATCTTCTTCTGTCTGGTTATCTATTCAGAAAACTGCATTGTAAGCTAATAAATGTGAACTAGATTTTTTGTATAGTGGAAATTACAGGTTATCCTTATAGGCCATTATCTAAACGAAATCAAGGCGAGCTCTGCGTGTCAGGAACCTGACCTGAAATTGGCAACAACAGAAATCGATGAATATTCGTTAAAAGCCAATTGACCCAAAAGTAGAGAATTTAAATAATTGGGAAGAAAGCAAGTTCACGGCTGTGTTATCAAGAAAACAAACTTCATTCTAATTATCAAAAACATGTGGAAGGTTAAACCAAGCGTTTTATTTCGTTCTTCTTTATTTCACTCGTCACAACCGAATGCTCCACTTCTCCCATTTCACATGGTCTTTACATCTTCTTAACATAGGTTTATATAACATAGGCTTGACATACATGGGATTAACATACATGGGTTTAACATACATGGGATTAACATACATACATGACTCTCTGCTAGCCTACTACAAACACTGAACGAAGATCTCTTTCCCTCTAAGGAGCCCAGAGATAGAGCGGAGAACTTAAGTTAAAATGTTTTTTTTTTAAGTTTGATTTTTAGAATCCCATGTCCCAATCCCAATCTATCTTAGAGGTTCAATAGGAAACCCAATAAAATTCTGGAAACCCGCATTAAGAAGAGATTGTTTAACGAAGTCAAATGCCTTACTGAAATCAATAAAAGTCTCATCTTCCTAAAAATTAAAATTAAAATTAATGAATTCTTAAAAATTAATTGTAAAAATGTAATTGTACTTAGAAATACTGAGCTCCAAAATATTATCCCTTTTTGATCTTCGATCACAGATCTACAAAGGAGCTACAGATGGGAAGAAATACCGAGGAAGAACCTTCTGAAAAAGATTTGAATGTTCGCTCTTTACCAAAATCCCAGTTTAGTTAGCATTCTTCCGTGGGCTGGAATTAGCCTGGACAAAGGCCCTGGACTGGGCTTAAGTCAAATACCGTGTTGTGCGGCCATTAGTCCAGGCAGATTCCGGCACACATTATTTCTGGCCACGGCACGTGTTTGAACCGCAAACAGATGAATTTCTGCAGTCCCTGGCTCCACTCGCCGATGAGGACAACGAGTTATGAGCAGGCGGCAACCACTCAGGGCAGTTTTGCGCATTCCAAGTCTCGGTGCGGAGCCAGGAGCCGGAGCATTGCAATTCGTCCTCGGGGTCTTTTTTGTGTTAATAATAAATAAACGGACGGGCCTTGCAGCCAGAGTCCGTAGTGGAGCCCTGCTTGTGTTTTGGACACACCGGAGCGCATTTTAATGGACGAATGCAGCGGCGGAGAGTGAACCCAAAACCCATAACCCCGAAGCAGCAGCAGCGGCAGCAGGAGCAGGAGCAAGAGCAGGATCTGGGCCCAGAGCCGCAGCACACCTTTCCCCGGGTGCATGTGTGACACCCGGCAGTGTCCCAACCCCCCGTCCCTGTCTTGAAATACGGCATTTGCTCGTCCATCTTTTGATTTAGCACCGACATAAAAATGATTTATCAGTGACATTAAAATAATGCACACTGTGGCGCATTTTATGTGCGAATGGATTTCGCGCCTTTTTGTTCTCGCTGTTCCGGGTTGCCGAGTGGGTCGGGTTGGGCGTCAGTGCAGTGGCAGTCGCAGTGGCATTTACCCATCCCCCCCCCAGAGACCCGACCCGACCCAACCCAATCCGGGGTATACGGTCCTCCCAAACAGCTGTCCGCCCGTCCGTCCATTGGCCTGCGTCAGTGTTTGTGCGCCGAATATTTTACGGCCGAGGTGTTTCTGAGTGAATCCCCGCCAGCTGCATCAGTATGCCATATATATGAGCGGTGGGTTGGTGCTCTGCACCTATCCGGACCTGGAACTGCTCTCGGGCTACTGGAGGCATCATAAATGTAAACTTTTATGTGATTATGTCCATCTCTCTCTGGCTGCTATGTGAAAAGTGTACTTGGAGAAAAGTCAGAAAGGAATTCATAAAAGTTATTTAACTATATAGATTTCATTGGAGATCATTATAAATGCTTAGTATTACTGCAATCTGTACACACATATTTTACTGATTTTTCACATATTATATCCATCAGGCCCTTAAAAATTTCCTAGTGTTCGTTGGTGCTATTTGAAATGTGCCATAATTTGCACCCAGATGTGTGACACACCATTGCAAGTGCGACGGAGTAGGGGGTCCTGATGCTGGGTGCCAGTTACTGGTTGCTGGTTGCTGGTTACTGGTGGCTGTTGCCGGCTATCAACTGGAACGCGGCTAGGATGTGCCCTGCCACCGAAATGGACGACAACATATGCCCCATACGGGGACTGGAACTCATTAGAGTGGGTCCTGCGTGTGTGTGTGTGTGTGAGCTTAATGAGGACACAACTGGAGCGCAGAGATGGCGCAGGCGCTGCTCATGGATGCGAGAGGACAGTGGCTGTAGATGGGACAGATGGGAGGGACGAGGACTTGTACGTGGATATGGGCATGGGCATGCACATCTGCAGACGTCGCTGATTGCCCGGGTTCAATCTCAGTGGCAGTGGCAGTGCCATTCCCATGCCCATGCCCAAGCCCATGTCCATGCCCGTCCCGTGGCCAGTTGGCAGCGTCAGCATAATTTCCTGATGCTAAATGCCAAACGCAGGACAGGGACGAGTCGGAGCCAGAGCCGGCCAGCCGAGCACTTGAGCCCATCCGCCATCGACTGACCGAGTGCCAGGGCACGAGCTGCAAAATGGGATTGGGCTTTGGATTTTGTTTGGGAGCAGTGGCACCCCAAATGGGGCAGGGCCACCAGAGTGGAAAGGTAGTGGAGAGCCTGGCGTTGTTGTTGTAGTGGTGCCTCTGGCTCATTGTCTCGCGCTGAGACAGCGATGAGGTGGAATGTTGCACAGGAGCGGCGGAGGTGGCGCATCAGGAGCAGGACCAGTATCAGGGCAATTTAGAGGAGCGCACACTCACACTAACACACATGTTTGTGGGTAATTTATCTCGAAGAATTATTATTTCAAATATTTTGAGGGGCTGGCGTGCACTTAAAAAAATACATACATCCTGATTCCTTTTTACTTTCAGTATATATAGAAAATAATGAATTCTTTCTGGATTTATAAAATATTCTTAAAACGAATTGGTAAATAAATTAATAAATTATAACTTTATCTTTATTTACTAAAAATGTTCATCTGTGATCCTACGTACAATTTCCAACTAGCCCAAACTGATAATACGCAAGTCGCCTCTGAGATATGGATCCTTTTCCTAATTTATTTTTCGCAGCGTCTCAATGCGATGTTCGGAAACGGGACATTGGTGATATCATCTAAATAACGAAGAAAATAAACGCAATTTAAATTGATAATGATAGGTAAATTTAATTAAGTTTTAAGGGTTTCGCCTGAAACTTGTTTTAGAACATTAAAGAATATTTTATTTATAATTTATATTGTTACCAAATACGTATCTTTTATATATTTATTTTATACATCGAAAAGGACAGAGATAAAATACTTTTCTAGTTTTTCCAAGTGCCACAATGGCAGGGCACACAGAGACAGAGCGACGCACCGAAATAAAAGGATTTTAAAATGGTCATTTGATATGAATTATGCGCGTTGGTGCAATTACAGAGTCCTTCCCGCCTCCGCCAGCCCGAGGTCTGAGCTGGGACCGTGGATCACGACTACCTTACACAATTCCCGGCCGGACTGTGATGCCTTTGTCTGACTGTGATGCGGTTGTCTCGGCGCTTAGGAAAGGACGATCCGGCTGCTGTTCGGCTTGTTTACGTCCCGCTGGTGGTCCCGCCCCGTCCATGAAAGGACCGTTTTCGCAGTCCGCGACTTGGACTTTATCGTTAAATAATTAAATCAGCTGCTAGACTAATATATTTCTCTTAATTGCGAGTAACTCATGGTTAGCGCGTTCGCAAAGTGTCCGGGCCATTTGGCCCCGTTTCTGATTTATGCGCTATATAAATAGCAGCTAACCGATAGCTAATATCGCTGATGCGTCGCATATGCAGGGCGGTAATGGATAAAGTAGTACAGAGCTCTGTATATGGCTAAGTTAAGTTTTTTATTTTTTTCTGAATTTCTATAAAAGTTTATGGGAGAATACGAGAGTAGTTTATATTTATTTAAGTCCCTTCATTCTTATTAGTTATATAGGTATTCTGATATTTACTAACTTAAAAAGAATATATTAATTATTTTTGTTAATAACAATATATTTTTGAGCCGCTCTCTTATACAAATGAGATATCTCGAAGTTGGCTAGAATCGTCCTCGACAAAGGAAACCCAGAATACACATACCACGAAATATCAACAAAAATGTTAAAAATAATTGCCGCGTCACCAGAAACGCTTCCCCTCCCCTCCCTCGAAGCCCACTGCTGCAGGGGTGGTACCAGAAAAGGAATAAAAAAATTGAAAGGGAAATGTAAAAATAATCGGCAATAAATTTAGCAAAAGTGTCGAAAACGGCACACACCAAGCCAAGGGGATGAGGAAGCGGAGAGTCAAACATGGCAGAAATTCGGGCCCGCCAAGACCTCATAGTTCAATGTCCCGAGCAGGCCATGCCTTCCCCCAGGAAACCAGCCGAGGGAAAGGATGCAAGGTTCGTGGCAACCGCATTTATAATAAATTGAATTGCAATAACTCAGCTTCAATCAAAAATCATAATTCATGAAATTCGACAGCCCCGAACCTAACCGACTCCAACCCTAAGTTTTCGTTGCAGTTTTGCTCTGGGTACAGGACTTGCTCCTTTCGTCCTGTCGTGTTACGTGTGTGTGCGGATGTTTCCTCAGTATA